ATCGGTTTGAGTGCTTAGTATAAGGGGTAAGGATTCGGGGTGTTCGGGTAAGCAAAGCAGACGAGAAACATTGTTTAGGAAGACAACATGATTGCAATAGTATACTCAGCGACTTCGCATGATTCACATGAGGTCAGATAGAATGACAGTGGAACATAAATGAAGGTAGGAAGGACAGCCTTTCAACAACATCTTACACCATCTGAGGTTTGTCAACACTCTGCGTTTCTGAGCAAGGATTTCAGATAAAGAAGCATCCCAATTAATACAGGGCTGAGTAAAGAAAGTATGCTTAGCTGTCTTGTAAATACAAAACTTGATTCAGCTTGAATATGAAATGTGATCCAGCTTGTACCACCGCAAGCATCAACAAACAGGAAACATGAGAATCCTATAGAATCTATTTTCGAAGATTCTGGATCGGATCACAATCACAATCAGAATCACAATCTCCATCCCAATCCCAATCCCTTTCCCAATTCAAAGGTTTCGACATCTGAGTCGGGTTACCAAGATTGAAGAGTTGGTCAAGCCTCAAGGAGAAAGTATCTCGATTGTGATTCGTGATGAGCGTGTGATCATAAGCTTTGGAAACTTAAATATTGCCTGCCTCTTGGTCATGTTTAGGCTATCGAGCGTACCAATATCTGGCCATCGACTAGGTTCACATATCGCCCATAACTCAAAGAGGGGATGGGCTCTACGTAAGCGAAAAAACAGGCGGAAATTGAGTACCTTTCAAAGGACTTTTTTAATAGATTATAAATTCATTTCAAATTAAATATTGAAATTTGAAAAAAGCAAACGAAAATTTGAGTCTTCTTTGTATTGATTTTAAGTGGTTTTATTATTTAATATTATATCGAAAACAGATCTTAGTTGTTGAAGGTCTTTCGAATGGTGGTCAATTTCCGCCTGTTTTTTTGCTTACGTAGAGATGGGATAAGTGCCACCAGGTGTAGTAACAATAAGCTTACATAAAGCCTAGTGTAGCATAATCGCACCTTTCAGCGATGATCTTCCTTATTAGAAAGTTTCTTGTCCTGGGTAAGGTCAAGGCTATACGCAATGAAATGTTGAATATCCTAGTCCTTCTGATGGCAAGACGTAAATATTAATAATTATCACGGAGGACCGATCCCATTGATGATCCATCTGACAAGGAATTTTCAAAGCTTCTGGAAGGAAATTGGAAGGAATTTCCAGCAGATTAACCCCTTTTTGGCGGCTATCGGTGACCCACTTACTGCATGGCGGACATGGATACTGAGGACGGCGGGAAGGTTCAAGCATTTTGGTATGAAATGATGTGAAAGAGATGTATCCAATTATTACGATAGTTTCAAAAAGTCCTTTTTACCTAAGCAGTATTCAATTGATTCGGTTGATGAATTTGGAGGCTCGTCAAATGTCCAAGACATACGGAGTGAGATAAGAATCATAAGATGAGAAGCGAGCCCCAGTTAATTGTAGGTAGATTAGGACATATGCAATCTTGAATCCACCATGGCACCATGTAATAAAGATTTTTGAATCAATTGAGTAGTCTGTGGGGTGTCATGGGTGTTGAAATGGCTGGTCTGGCTGGTCTGGCTGGCCTGGCTGGTGGTCGTTGAAGAATTCGGACTTGATTTGTTTCATCCATCTTATGCAAAAAGAAAGGTTTGAGCGGCGGTAGAAGCGGGACAGTCTCTCAGGAAAACAGGAATCGAGAGCCTCGGAACATTTGGATTGACATATTTTCATCCAAAGTTGTATTGTGATCATCGGATAGTAGTTGTTGCAGTTGACATATACTCCGCAGTTGAAATATACCCCGTGCAATACGAAAAACATCATGCTTTGCTGTGACTATCAATACTCACCAAGGTACGCTGGCCCGCTGGCAGACCTGGAATTGTGATGTGAATCCACGAGCAGTCAAACGGTTCCATCAAAACTTTCCACGTCGGATTATTTGAGGATAATTCAAACCATTTTATATAATTCATCAAGTTTCATTGGTTCAGAGAAGAATATGTGGCGTTTTATGAAGCCCCTTCTTTCTCATGCAGGCAATTCGTATCTGCCCCAACATTTACCAGATAATGTAATGTAGTGTGTAGGTAGTATGTACGTACTCAGGTACTCCAATATACTCGCATGAACAGTTCCCATTCCTTAAGGCTGATGGGGAAAGATGATGCAAAGAAGAGGCGAGAATGGATGAATTGTGTAATGTGTGATGTGTATCGTGTATTGTGTACGGAATACGAGCAATCTGTAACCTGGAACTAATTGACCTTTTTCTTTGAGAATATATGATGGTACCATCACTTGACAACATCACTTCCTCCTGCGTTCTCCTACAAGAATCTAAAGATGGCATCGATCAATCTTTTTCTTCAAGAGAGTCAAAAGAAGAGATGGTTCTCCTGAGACATTAGTTATCATTGGCTATTGGCTACACGTATCTGACTTGATTTTTTTGCTTCTTCTTTTTCTCTTTCTTTATTTCTTCCTTTCTCTCTCTCTTTCTTTCTTCTTCAATTGACGCTATAACCAAATCATCCTTCTTCCCATGCTTCCATTAATCTTAAAGTACGGAGCTTCCTCTCTGATACGTCGATTAATCCTGGTTTTCATCTGCAGAATGGAATTAACCCCTGGTTCATTCCTTGTGGACGGTATTGTTTTATCCTAGTTGCTTTGCCATCGGTAGGTAGTCTATGGAGTAAGTCGGATTCTAATAACAGACATGCAGACTGCTGCAGACTGCAGTTTGAAACTTCCGAGCTCTTTGTTAGCCTTCCTTTAATGTACAGCACTCAATTTATAGAATGTGAATCACTGAAGAAAGCCTACACCCATCCAACTGGTAACACTAGGCAATGATGTTGGTATACTCTACAACTGATCGAGATGACAAACTTTATGAATGGCTGTTCATGAGTGGCTGTTCATGAATGGCTGTTCTCACATCTTCTGACTAATAAGCCTTCAGCTCACCAAACTTCCTTTCACTAGCCAATATAGAGTTCCAACAGTATGCTTGCTGCTTCAAACCTTCAACGAGAGTTCTATCAATGTAGATGAAGCAAACTTGTAACGCTGATATCAAAATACCTATGATATGATGGATGAATACTGGACGATACCCAACCTGCGGAGTACATCTACTTAGCTATAACCTCCTCACAATCTCCTCCGTGGGTATGGAGACATCCACCGCGGACTTCTTCCTTATTTTATAGATATATCGACATACCGAGGAAGGATATATCCAACTAATCATCAAAAGGCAGGCAAACCTAATGAGTAACGGCAGCCAGGCAGAGTACACGTCCCCGTTATGTCAAGACATTCACTAGTCAATTAGATCAGATTCATTAACCATTAACATCAACCAAGCCTCATTCTTTTTTTGATAAAGCTTTCACTGGTTGCAGATTGCCGTCATTGATTGAGATGGACAGTCTTCTGCTGAAAAATGACAGTGATCATTGAGCAATTGAGCAATTGAGTTTTTGAGCTTTACTATCTATCACCTTGGAGGGGAAAGTATGTGATGTGTAGTAAGTAGTAAGTAGGTAGTAAGCAGTAAATAGTAAATAGGTAGCAAGTAAGTAGGTAGTAAGCAGGTCATAGAGGAAGATTCTTATCTCAATACCTACCTAGTATTCACTTCATCATCAGATCATCTACAGACTACCTGTCTACCTAGTTGGCTATGGCAAATTACATCAAGTATTATTTTTGATATCAAATCTCGAGGTGTCCATATGTTAGCGATGGTATATTATGACTGGATGATGATATACTTATTCACTTTCTTACTCATCGAGAGCTCATCTTCTTTGTCTAGACGACCTATGATGAGGGACTACCTAGGTAGGTCTACTCATCCATCCTCTCCTCACTCTCTCATTTATAAAAATAACACTCGAGTAATAATAATAACCACATAATAACCACATGATAACCACATAATAATAAAACCCTGATCGTACTCCACTTATTAATGTCCACTCTCATACATTCCCCCTCCCAGAATCCAAATTGGGAAAGACATTAGCGCAAAGCCAGCCGAGAATTTGCTCCGTAGACCTCTCACCCCTTCCCTATTTCGATTATAATTGATTATTCTTTCCCGACTACTAGTGACTAGCAATTATAACTAGGAACTAGGTAGTATAAACTTACCCAAGTAGAATGCTAAATAATCCCAGAACAAGAGGGAAATCAAATCAAAAGACTCTTTCTCCGTTCGTTCGTTCACTCAACCATCGATTCATCCAACCATTTCCTTTCCGACAAACTACCTCCCTACCTAACCCATCCATCTCCTCGTACCAAAGATCAACTTTGGTTCACATAATTGTTTTTCATTCCATTCGATTCACACTTGAAGGAGTTTTCTGTCCCATCCATTTGGTTGACCAAGAACCTCGACTTTACTTTCTTCGGGATTAAGGATTGAAAGAGTGTATTGTTAATACTGGTAAGTAACTGAGTCTGACTTTCTTTGTTTCCTTATGGATTGCACCATTCCTCATCGCATCGCAATCGAAAGAGAATAAATAGCAGCAAATCAAATTGCATCCATTCACACTCACCACACAAATTGTCTTGTCGGGAAGACCGACCGACTGCGACACACACATATCTTTGAAAATCATTTACGACTCGAGCCCTTTTACACCATTTGGAATACCAACTATATCAATCTCGGAAAGAAGCATTGCATCTTGCATTGCATTTGAACCCCCCTCCCCTATTCACCAACCCGACCGAGTTCAATTCAACTTCAATCCAGCACCTCGTTGCTGATTGTCGCCTTTGCTTACCATCAGCAACATCTCCATCATTCAGCCGCAACTCATTCATTGTCTGATTTCCGCTAATCATTTACCTTTCACAGACCGCACTCTATCTTGCGGCCGGTTCTGCGACGAATTTACACTCACCTTACGACCCTTTTTACGACTTTTAATAATTACATACCACAATAATCTATCAAGATGGGTTGCGGTATGAGCACTGAGGAGAAGGAGGGAAAGGCCAGGAACGAGGAGATTGAGAACCAACTCAAGAGGGATAAGATGCTGCAGCGAAATGAAATCAAGATGCTTCTCCTTGGTAAGTAATATTGTCCTTGATCACACTTTGTCTACCATCAGTTATCTAGTCTAACACTTTTTTAGGAGCTGGTGAATCCGGAAAGTCTACTATCTTGAAACAGATGAAACTTATCCATGAGGGAGGTTATTCGCGCGACGAGCGAGAATCATTCAAAGAAATTATTTTCAGCAACACAGTCCAATCAATGCGCGTTATCCTCGAAGCCATGGAGTCCCTGGAATTACCTCTCGATGATCAAAGAGCAGAATACCATGTCCAAACCATCTTCATGCAGCCACAACAAATTGAAGGAGACAATTTACCACCCGAGGTCGGAAGTGCTATTGCTGCTTTATGGAAGGATGCTGGTGTTCAAGATTGTTTCAAGCGATCAAGAGAATATCAATTGAACGACTCTGCTAGATAGTAAGTATTTGATTGTGGATAGATTTTGGATACCTGTCGAATTTTTTTTTATGAACAAAGCTGATCCTAACACTCTTTGTCTAGCTACTTTGATAACATCGAAAGAATCGCTCAACATGATTACATGCCAAACGATCAAGATGTCCTTCGCTCCCGTGTCAAGACCACGGGTATCACCGAAACCACCTTCATCATTGGAGACCTCACCTACCGCATGTTCGATGTTGGAGGACAACGTTCCGAGCGAAAGAAGTGGATCCATTGCTTTGAGAATGTCACGACAATCCTCTTCTTGGTCGCTATCTCCGAGTACGATCAACTGCTTTTCGAAGATGAAACTGTCAACCGTATGCAAGAAGCGCTTACACTTTTCGACTCGATTTGCAATTCAAGATGGTTTATCAAGACGTCAATTATCTTGTTCTTGAACAAGATCGATAGATTCAAGGAGAAGCTTCCCGTCAGTCCTATGAAGAACTACTTCCCAGACTATGAAGGTGGAGATGATTACGCTCTCGCATGTGACTACATCCTGAACAGATTCGTCAGTCTCAACCAGCACGAGACAAAACAAATCTACACCCATTTCACTTGCGCTACCGATACTACGCAAATTAGATTCGTCATGGCGGCTGTTAATGGTAAGCTTCATAGCTCTCAAGTGTTTTGTACCGTTTCTAACTTATTCTAGACATCATCATACAAGAAAACCTCCGCTTGTGTGGTCTGATATAATCATGGAATACCCAACTGCAGTCGAACAATATCGACTACAGAAATCTCCTTAATTCAGCATGGCGTTAATTACAAAACCGGGGTCTCATTTTTCCAATACCAACATCTTCTTGCACAGTCACTTTCGGTCTTGCAACCTTTTTTTGCTATAGAACCATTGTTTTTCTTCGAAGGGGGTGTCGAGGGTACGGTAGTATCGGAGCACTTCATGGGTTGTTCTACTTGACCTCCGCTTCGATGTGCCATCTATTATATCCCTTCTACGTTTTAGGGGGTAGCATCGACCGAGACTATTTTCTCTTATTACTTAAGTTTTGTTTTAAATCCTGTTTGTCATATTAATAGCGACGACGTAACACCGTTCGGGATGTGGTTGGTTTAATGCCAGCAACTGATGATGTCGCACGGTTTGCGGTTTGCCGTGTTCTCTTTTTTGATGAGGGTGGGGGAGTTGTGTAGTAAGTCGAGAGTGAGATGAATAAGATGAAGCTTTTAGCTGGTTAGAAGGTTGCAGGTGTACGAACACGAAGATAGGTGATTGTTGGATGGCTCGTTGGGCTTAAAATGATGGTAGTGGTGGATCTCTAGGCTGATTGGTTGGCCGAATCGAAGCAACTGCTTATTCACGTTAGGCATTGATACCATAGTCAATTAATTAAAAAGATTCATATTGATCTACCTTTGTCCTTGTGTTTGCTTTTTGTGATCATTGATGTGTATTTCGAGTCGGGAAATGATAGGCTAAGACATTTATGATCAGCTATGGTAAAGTTTTTGTAACTTAGGCAACCTCGTGGCAACTAAAGCCTGCAATAAATAACACATGATTGCATCCTTTCCAACACTGCGATAATTGTAACACCATATTTGAAGCCCGCACATTAAACATTGTCTTCCCACTTGTATTTGATTTCTAATTACACAAGCAACGTGATAAAGATGATATTTTCATCGCGCAAAAGATCCAATGTTAGGATCCTGGAAAGCTGCAGGTGGCTGGTCTTGGGATATTTGGTTATGGGGATGGGGGTGGAAGGTGTTTGGGGGAAAATCACCTTGGAGAGTGTGAGGGGGATTACGGGGGTTACGAGGGAGGGGAGGGAGAGGGTGGGGTGGGGTGAGGGGGGTGGTGGTGGTGGTGTTGGGAATGGAAAGGGGCTGGAGATGAGGATGGGGATGGGGATTTATGGGAGAAGGAGAGGCGGAGAGGGATGGAGAGAAGGAAAAGGGGAGGGGGAGGGAGAACAGGTGATTATGGGGACTGGGAATGCGGGTGGAGATCGAGATGAGATTGAGAATGTGAGTTTACTTTCTTGTCTAGATTCTTTGATTCTGTAGCCTTGGGATTGAGGCTAGGGATCCCGATGGGGCTGGTGGATGATACCGTGATGATGATCAGGAGACGGAAAAGGGAGGCAGGATTTGAATTGTTGGGATATGATGAACGGGGCGATGGAAGTGATTGAATCAAGACAACGTGATTTGATGATCAAAGAAGGCAAATACACTAATACTAACCAATTTCTAATTTTCCACAGACGGTAACAGCCGCTCTGCATATGCTCTGCTCGGATCTATTGGTTGAGTTGGAGAAACCTCTTTTGGTTTCTTCTTCTTCTTCCTCCTTTTCCTCTCCATTTGTGTCTTTCGGGGATACGAAGGTATGTTCTGTTAACCTTCTGCTCCATACGATAAAGATCTTGGCTGATAGAACATAGGGAGAAGTAAATTGTACACAGGTGAAAACAGATTTTGATGATTTACTGAGGGAAACAACGTGGTTTTTGTATCAGGTGCAGGAACGTCAGATGGTGTGGAGGTGGGCGAGAGGGAGCGCGGTTCAGGAGGGGGTGGTGTGGTTGCAGGGGCTGTGGGCTAGTAGGAGGAGTGTGAGTTGTGTTTCTTCTTCTTCTTTGGGATTGCTTCGAGGCGGGAAATGGGATCCAAAACTGACGATGGCAGAATTCACAAGATAGGAGCTTCATTGAACAGCAATTGGAGTTGTATAAGAGTACGGAATGTTTTGAGAAGGTGAATGATGAGGTTTTGAGGAAGGATATTGAGGTTGTGGAGTACTTGAATGATTTGATTGAGATGTTTCCCTAATGGTGAAGGGGTTTAGAGGTGGAGGTGGAGGCAGAGGAGAGGCAAGAGATGGATGATGACGAGGTGATCAGGTTTGGTATTGGTGGGATAGAAGGGTGCGGGGAGTACATTTATCAAAAGGGGATGTAAGATTGTTTAAGGGGACAATGAATTGGGAAGTGGATGGGGAGTCAATCGAGGAGGTGTTCAACAATGACGAAAATTGAGCATGGCAACGAGCATGGAGGATACATGATATCGGATTGTCAATAAATTGAAGTGTGTTATTTTTGTATGAGCAGTACACATATCATTCAGCCATGAGCAGGAGTACATTAGAGGATCAGCATTGGGATAGAATGACACTTTCTTACACTTTGTCTTCAACTTCCCATGCTTGCAGGAATTCTACTATTCGAGAATGTAACCCGAAGTAGAGGAACCCCAAGGATATTTCCCCAGAGAGTTTGAAGCATCATTATACATACTCTATATGCACTCTCCAGCGACGCTCCCTTCCACAGCCCCACTCAATCCACTCTTCACAATGACATGACGAGGACAAGCTGATCGCGAGCCATACATACTCTTGCTCTCTACCTTGGTTCTTGGAAACTACTCTAAACTCTATGCTTACCAGTATGATGCCTCATACTCGTTACTCCATGTAATATAGTCAAGATACACTAATTGGACCTACTATCCATCTCAACTCACCAGTCAAAAAAACCCACTACCGGGGACCTCGTCCATTCGCACCAATGACCCCAATGACCACCTATAAAACTTCCCCTCAATCTATCTCAAATCCCCCAATCCCACTGATCCAAGCAGCCTCCACGACCCGGGTACAAAGTATCTATTTCCACAAGCTCCATCCCATCCATCACGCATCACACCCAGCCAGCCAATCCACACCACACCCCATCTCGATTCTAGAACCTCCCCCAGGTATCCATCAATATCTATCCGAGACTCTGATTCGACTCGGGAATCCACATTGCATATAATAAGGATCAGATGTCATGCGCAAGGTGGACCATGGAGGTTTTGTTGCACGTCTGAATTTTTGCATGTTCGCCGACCTTGGGTTTTCAGGCCGCATTGGGATGGGCTGGCGAGGTGGCCGAGCTGGAGGCGCTTCTGGCTTGTTACATCTGTGTGAAAGGGCCTCTCTAGGTGTGTAAGCGAAATCAATTGGTGGCCGGATTGGAAGACTGGTGAAAAGTCTTTACGGTTTGGTTAGTTCTTTTTGAGATGGAGTGGAATTTGTTCTGTTACAGAGTTTAAGTTGTATAGAGGTTGAATTTCGATTTCATCTCTTCCAGTTTTATAGTTTTATTGGTGGTTGGTTTGTGGTTTCAATTAATCAATGAGATTGAAGTACTCAAATTCGGCCATTTAATTCCCTCCCGTAGAAGGTAGGGCATAGGGAGCTCACCGGGAGCTCACCGGGAGCTCATCGGCAAGTTGAAGGTTTTTCTTGAACTTGAACTTAAAGTTGGTCAAAGCTCGCCGGGACCTTTCAGGTCAGCGAGATCTTTATTTTCACCAGCCCCAGTTTTGTTTGGAAGCGGAATTCGCAGGGGGTAAAGCCACAATGGTAGTGAAATGAATCTACCAAGGATGTGGAATGATTGGCATCATTGAAATATGTTTGATGAGATAATGTGATGAAGGACACACAACTTTCATGATTTGTTAATTTAGTTTTTGATCTCTGCAGCAAGGAAATATGGCAAGGCTTAATACAGTACCTGTTCCGGCGAGGGATCCGACAGCTACGAATTTGGAACGGATGTTAGTGAGATTACAGAAAATAATCTTGGGTCCAGATACGTCTGCTACTTCGCAAAGCTATGCTGAGTGGGTGAAGATGGGCGCGGTAAGAATCTTGTACTTTTTTCTTATGAGAAAGGATGAGGCTGATTGTGCAATGGTATAGAACCTGGAATATGCGCGGGGTTTACTGGTTCATGTAGAGCAGGATGCGCAGAATATCAAAGTGTTATCGAGAAAACAGGAGGTACAGACAGATTTGGTGCGCAAAAGACATTTGATACAGAGACTTGGTGAGAGATTGGAGGAGTTACGTGAGGTGTGTATATTCTTTGATCTGCGGAGAATCGGACATGTGCTAATAGCTTTATTGTAGCTTGCAAGTTATGATGAAGAAGGCGAGGATTCCTCCGAGGGGGAAGATTTGTTGGGAATTGCTCAAGATACTCCTTCGGAAACGACTGATGAAATGATGAATACGAGCGAAGAACGATCAACACCTTCTCCTACCGATTATACATCTTCTCCTAACGTACAAACGGAGTTGGATTCCGCGCCAGCACAAATTCAAACTCAGACCTCTCAGACTCCCGATCCATCTACCCTCCGCTCTCGTAATCCCCGCGCTGAACTTTTCGAGAAATCTTCAAATCAAGCTTACACAACATCTACCTCTACCTCTACTTCTACCTACCGACCAGCTCCTACCCCCTCAAGCACCACCACCGCCACCACTGAAACCCTCCTGACCCACCACCGCACCGAGCAAGAAGATCTGACCAATTCTCTCCTCTCCATGGCCCAGGAACTCCGCGCTCGCTCACAAACCTTCGCCAGTACCCTCGCAAGCGATTCATCGGTGCTCGATTCTGCAATCGCGGGGATCAATAAGAATGAGCTTGGATTGGAAGCGGCGTCGAAGAGAATGGGGTATTTGAGGAGTATGACGGAGGGGAAGGGATGGTGGGGTCGCATGATGATGTATGCGTGGATTGCGGGGTTGGCGGTCCTGGCTGTGTTGGTGGTGTTTGTTATGCCGAAGTTGAGGTTTTGAGTTGGGGATGGGAGGAAAGAATGTGTGAGGGGGTGCAGAGAGGGGTTGTGGAAAAGATTATTTGAGGAGAGTAGAGGGAGTCAGAAAAGAATGGGATGGCGTTTTGATGGAAGGGGGGAGTTTTGCGGTGTTTGAGGTGCTTGGGAAATACCATAAATAGTGGTAGGCTTTCTTCTCTCTTGATATATTGATTCTAGCATGTTTGGACGGGTATTGGAAGGAGCTATATCATGACATGATGTGTTTTTTTTACATGTTACAAAATGTGCAAGGGGGAGGAGGAGAGATGATGTATTATTGTATTTGTTGAGTTGCCGAAGTAGTAATATGAGTATGCGGGGTTTGTCGTGTATCATGTATTGTGTATCATTATATTACATTACATTACATTACATTACATTGTATTGTATTGCAGTGCATTTCATTGCGAGTTTTTGTTTGGTTAGTTTCATGAAGATGAAGATGATGATGAAGATGAAAGATAGGTAGGAAATTGGAAATTATAAATGATGAATGAATTATCAAAACGTATATAAACAACTACCGATGCTGGAAACATTCCTTCTTAGCTACCTACTTGCTTTTGAGAATTAGAATTGATGTTGATGGTTCTCTCGGTAGGTAGGTAGGTATCTGTGTAGAGAGGCAAAAAAAGAGAAATCTGTTCAACTGCTTCTTCCAATCCAATCCAATCCACTTCGATCCACTTCAGCTCAGCTCAGCTCAGGTCAATCCATTCCATTTTCCTATGTCAGATAGATTACTGTGCCATTCCTCATCCCTCATAGATCATAGATCATCTCCCAAACTCCAAATTATATCTATTGCCATGCTAGTTTCTTTACGCCATTGGCTCTGTGTCTTCTGGAGAAAGCTCTTTCATATCTTCATATTTTGTAAGAAGATGTGATAAGGGAGATGTGAGGGGGGGAATAAGGAACTTGTGAATTGATGAGAAGAGACTTGAGGATTAAATCGGATGAAATGAAATGACAAAAAGAGACTTGAAATTAAATAAAATGAAATAAAATGTTGAGAGAAAGATAGGAAAACGGAAAAACGATAGTGGATCTTCCCCAGGATGATACTTCTGGATTTGAGGAGAGGGGATTAGAGATATGAAGATGAGAGGCGAGAGATCTGGTATCGTTGGAGAATCTGATGTGGCGTGGTTGCTGCTGTGTGTGTGGTTGGGTATTCGTGTGTTTAGACTTTAACTCAAGGATGTGATTGAGAATAAGATTGATCAAAATTGGAATGTGATATGTGATGCAAGATGCAAGATACAAGATAGCGTAGGTTGTGATGAGGATCCGATATAAAAACGTCGAATGTTATAAGATAATAGCATCGTCGACAGAATTTCCCGAGGTGGAAAAAGAGCGTTGTGTTTGCGAGATGCGGTTTGTGGTGGGAGTTCTGGGAGGAGAAGTTGGACTTGGGAGATGTTAGGTTAGGGGTTTGTGAACCGGGGAAGGGGAAAGGAGGGGGGAGAGAAGTGAGAATGGAAGAACTTACTTTTCCATTTCCTCATCCTCGGTATTCAGATCACTGCTATTCATCTCAGTATCCGAATCAGATATCACAATCACAGTTTCCTTCTGCACATCCATCCCGTGTTGCATTCGGGGAAGCGGCGCAAGATGTGCGCGACGATGTGTAGACACAGGAGCAGATACAGAATCTCTCATCAACTCATCGAACGCCTCGTCATCATCCACCTCACTATCACTATCATATTCGAATTCTTCTTTTCTCTTTCTCTCCTCGATCGCTTGAGTTTTCTCCATCATCATCATTCTCTCTTTTCTCCTCTCGTTTTCGCGTTCTTTTTTCTCGACTTCGCTGCTTTCGTCTTTGGCTGCTTTATCTCTATCTTGGATTTCCTCACCGCAGGAATCAACTCCGGTTTCGTGGGGGATGGAACCAGAGTCGATATCTTTCCAGCTGGGAGCTTTGCGCCAAGAAGGTAGCATGCCCATTGGTCGACCTAGGGTAGGTCTCTGAAATCGGAATAAATCTCCGGGATGATTTTCTAGGAGGGGTTCATAGCGATCGTCCCATTCGATGCCGGTTTTAGACTTAAAAATATTTTTAAAATCGAGGAAGGCGTCGGCGAAGATTTTAGCTGTAGGGAGGGAACGGGAGATTAGTTTGGAGGTGTGGAAGGGAGGGAATGGGGGGAGAAAAGACTTACGACGACAATCTTCTCGAAGATAAGAGGGACTTTGATAGGCAGTTGTTAGTTTTGCTCCAGCCATATAAGTATGTGGTTGAGCATTGGACTCGAAGAGGTAGACTGTATATTTCTGATTTTTATTTTTGCCGTGCAGAAGAACACGGGTGAGGACGACTTTATATTCGAAATTCGTCTGATCGATATAAACATGATTGAGTCCTGTTCTTATATTAGATTAATCTTCCTCAAATCTTAAACTCCAGATAGCAAACTCCAAACCAAGCATGAATCTTGAGGTATAATAACATAGGGATTCATTAAGGAGAAAAAGTACATACGATCATCACACAATTCCTTACTCGCTTTCACATTCTCCTCGAATCTCTGTCGATACTTGGTTTTCTGATCTTCAGTATGATGTAAACGACGGATTACACGACCAAGTGTATACCCTGTAACGACAAGTTTCCTTTTCTTATTAGTTTTCAAGGTCAGACAATCGACTAGCCAGTCGATGACAACTATATG